CCCCCCCCCCCTTGTTTAAGCATCCTTATTGTTGTTTGTGCAGGCTGCCTTGTTTACCCTGTGTGCTGGAAACGAGCTCTTCTACTGCCTCCTCTACCTATTCAGTTTCTCCGAGGGACCTTTAGGTAGGAGATGAGGGGCGGGGCTGGAGGATGGGAGGGGGTATTGGCCTGCCCAGGGAGATGAAGGCTGTGGACGCATGGGCCCCCTCCCCGACTTGCACCCCATTTTCTCAGTATCACCCTTGCTCTCTTCCTACAGTTGGCTCTGTGGGTCTTTTCCGAATGGGCCTCTGGATCACAGCTCCTATCTCCTTGCTCAAGTCCCTCATCAGTGTCATCCACCTGATCACAGCTGCCCGAAATATGGCTGCCCTGGATGCAGCAGACCGTGCCAAGAAGAAGTGACTCTAGAACCTCCAGCCCCTGGCTACCCACCTGCCCTGGGAGTCTCACTGTGCTATGTGGCTCCCCTCTCCCTCCTAGGAGGTCCAGGCTCACATCTGGGTCACTGGGAAGGGGGTCAGTCTCTGATGATGTCGTATTCTTCATAATCCTGAAGGCCAGTCCCTCCCCTGTGATCCCCAAGGACCTGGACTCCCACGTCAGGAAGGCTGCTCAGGAGGCCCCTCCCACATGGGCTGTGCTTCCGGGGCACCTAGAGGCCTGTCTGAAGACTGGCCATTGTCATACCTGCTGGCCTGGCCCTGGGGTCTGGCTTGGCCTGAGACTTTACGGACACTTGAGTGAGGGGGATGGGGTAGGGGCCAGGTTTCCCAAAAAGCAGAGTCAGACTTCTGCCCCCAGCCAGAGGAAGGCTGCAGGTACTGTGGCCAGGAGAGAAGGAGCCATCTAGATCTCTTCCTGTTGTGGTGTCCTCTATCTGATCTATCCTAGCTCTGAAAGCCTCAATAATAAAGATGGGGGCTTCACTGTCCTGGACTTCATTTTCTTCGAAATACTCTTGGACTGGGGCCTGGGTTGAGGGGAACTTGGGGAAGAAGGAAGATCCATCTGGCTGTTTTTTCTTTAGTGTTTACTGGCTGACTCCTTCCTGTCATTCCACAGTGACCTCAGAGCCCTCGCTGCCATCCAAGCTCATACCATGTCTCTTGTCCACCTGCTTGCTTTCTTTTACGACAGTCACTAGCTGTCTACATTTATTTGTATACCTAATATTATCTATCCCCACTAGAATATAAACTCCACAAGGGCACTGACTTCTTGTTCCTTCTCTATCCCTTCCTACAATGAAGATTATCCTAACCTGGCATATCATAGCTGCTTAATATTCACAAATAGATCAGTTGGTTTCTCAGGGTGCAGTCCTTAGACCACCCGTGGGATATTTCTTAAAAATTCAATTTCTTGGACCCTGCCCCAGACTTTCATAGTTGGAATCTGTAGGAGTGGGGCTAGAAGTCTGCAATTTTAATAAACTCCAGGTGATATAGTCTTCCTGAGAATGTCGAGAATCAGTTTCTTAAATATTTGGGGGGTGCCTACCATATAGTAGACATTGTCCTGGGCATCTGTCCCTAACAGCTACCCCTACCATCTGAGCTTTCTCTGCTGGCTGGCACTGGCTTTTTAAGAACTATATTGAACCTACCATATGCCAGATCCTGTGCTGGGGCTTCTTTGCAGATGTGACTAGTTTTATCCTTATAATAGCTTAGCCAAGAGGCCCTCATGACCATGAGAGCTGAAATTCAGCAGATGTGTGTTAAGCCTCAACTCCCTAGCTAGGTCTAGGATTGGTGGGAACAGGCCAGCTAGGAAGAGATAATGCAGTTAGGGAGGTGCTTGTTGGGGGATGGGAGTAAGAAGTGCTGAAGCACTTAGGTGCTGGTGAAGCGGGTGGGCATCTAACAGGAAGTTGATAGGGGTTGGGTGGGAAGGGTTAATGCAGAGGCGAGGGCTGATTTTCAGCTGAGGGAAGGGAGGCAAGAGAGCACCCTGGACAGTTGGGGAAATGGAAACATGAGATTCGTGGGGCTGAAACAAGCGCTAGGGTTTGGGGGTGGCGAGCTCTTGAGAGATTGGGGGAAGCCATCGGGCAGCCTGAGGAGCCCAGTAGGACATTTGGACTTTATCTTGAGGGCCACATGGAGCCATTGAAGGAAACTTTTGAAATAATAGGTAAAATATTCACATGATAAAAAATTAAACTGTACACATTACAAAAGGTTGATGAAGTCTCCTGCCACCTCAGGCTCTCACTTCTTCCCAGAGGTGACCACTGCTACTCATTGCTTACATAAATTGTCTAAATTCTTCACGTCTACATGTATATACGTATATCTTCTCATGTTTTAAAATTCATATATATGTGCTGTTCTGCTATCATGCTACCACTGTTCCAAGCTCTTTTTGTGTATGTTACCTCATTTTGCCGGACACGCTATACTGTGTACGAAATGGAACAAGCCTGTGACTGCCCATTTTCCAGAAAGGAAACAGGTCCTGAGGGGAAGGAGGCCAATCTGGCTGGCTTGGCTCCAGAGCCCGCACCCTTAACATTTACCATACGAGGCGGTCCACATAAGTTGTCTTCTTAATGGTGACATGTCTTCTTAATGGTGACATAGAATTCCATTATTTATTTGTTTAACCAGGTCCTGCCATCATGAACAATGCTGCAGTAAATCACCTGGACTCTCCTGGGGGACACTTGTAGGATGAACACTGAAGAGCAGGATGGTGACAGGAACAGATTTGTACTTGCGGAAGATAGTCACAAGCTGAGCTGTCCCTCCAGCTCTGCAGGTGTCCCCTTACCTGGCCTGCCCCCAGTCAAGGTGGGAGAGGACCTTCACCTTTCCAGAGTCAGCTCTCCCCTCCAGCCAGAGGAGACCTCTGAGCACTTGCTCAAGCCCTAGGACCTGAATGGCTCCAGGCTCTAACCATTTACAGTGACATCAAGAGTTTCTAACTTATGTAAATCAAATCCAGTCACGCATTCCCCATCCAATATTTTTGACCGCCTACAATGCCCTACAATTCAAGGGGCAATTCAAAGAGCTGTAAGTTTCCATGTTCTTTCTTGAGAAGAGGAAGGAAAAGTTTCTGGGGTCTAGAGGGGCTGGCAGGTGGATGAGGGGTTGTTTAGTTAGCTCAGAATGAAGTCCTCAGTCAAGTATCATTTGGAAAGGAGAGAGAAACCAGTATGGGCAGGTAGGGCCCTCACAGAGTGTTTGCTCAAGGCTCCCATTTGACATATGGGGAAAGGGAAGCATCTTACACAGGACTATCAAGTGAATTAGCTATTCAGGCCTGGGGCTTTTGTGCTACTTCAAGCTGCTTCCAACACCAAAGCCCAATTGGGAGAGATCAAATGTCCCAAAGCTACTAGAAGGGTCAGTTCCATGAGGACAAGAACAGTGGCTTGTCATCTGTATTTGCCTCTGGTTT